CCCCCCCCCCGACTAGGCTGTTCCCCACTGCTGACAAGGCCGGTGGCTTCTGCGGGTGCTCAGCAGCCCCAACCCCACTGCTGACGCCATCAGTGGCTTGTGCGGGTGCTCACCAGCCCCATCCCCACCACCAGCTTCTGCAGGTGCACCCCCAGACTCAGGAGGCACCAGTCGCCCATGCCACGTATATTCCTGATCCTGCAGGACTGAGTTATAAATAACAAGTAATTGTGTCTTTAATAGAGGGGGCAAACTCCACCAACTTCTATCCACTTGATCCTTCTGAACAACCAGTGGCTGCAACAGTCCAGTCATGTAAATATGCCACTGGCTTTCACTAAGCCTATCTGAGAAATATGAACAAGCAGAAAACTCTGTCTCACCTGGCTGTCCAGGGGTTCAACACCCCAATCCCAGAGCTGTTGCAGGGACAGGCAGACAAATAACAAATGGGTCAAACCCGCTCTTTTGAAACACGCTCTTAAAAATGAGACTTAGCTGCTTTTGAACATGCATCAACTCCATTCTCAGGATAGAAAGGAAGGAGAGAAGAAGGAAGTTAAGAATCAGAACTTCCCGACTAGCTATACTGAAATGTTTGGAACAGTACAGGTCTACCGCCCTCCCCTCCCCCAAGGTAAAAATACTACATTACATTCACAGCTTGTGAGTCAGAACAGGAGCAAAATGGAAAATGAAGGGAGGGAGCCATTGTAAGCTCTGATTTGTATTCCAAATTTGAAGACTTGTGTAGCTTGGTGTGACATAAAAACTGATCAGAGCCCATTTCCATTTCTGTCAAAAGTGCATATTAAAACTGCATAATGAAATACATGTGGGGGTAGCGCTAAAATCTCAGACAGATGGTTCACAGTACTAACTAGCATGGTAAAATGAGAAGCTAGATTAAACCATCAACCCTGTAATTAACCATTTGCTGGTCTGTTTATTCACAGGATATTCTCCATGTTTTTCTCCTAGTGAAACAATAATAAGTGTTTCTTATTTTATATTCTCCTTGGTCTTTTTGCCAGCCATTTGCTGGGCATAATGTATGCTGCCTTTAGTTTACCAGAAGTAGGAGTGTATAAATACTAATTAAAATGCATGGATTATCAACGGGGTGATGCACAGCCAAATCACTCAATTCACAAGCAGAGAAATGTTCATAGTTTTGACTTTGCCTGCATGAGATTCATTGCAGCTCCATTCAGAATCTCAGAGGGGCATCTAACCTGATGTTCAGGACCCAAATTGTGTTTCAAAAGGCAACAGATTTAAAATATCAACATGGAAAAATATTATTGGGATCAAAATCTTGATGCGGAGCATGGTGGGGAGGGGCCGACCGTATTGATGATTGCGATAATGATTCTTGCTTGCCTGCCACCATACACCGATGTAACAGTTTACTAATATAAGTCCCAAACAGATCTAGGCCATGCACGGTAGTTTGAAGGAGTTAGGATAGATAGCAAACCATGTTGGAAGCTGTGAAGAGCTGAGAATTTTAGGAACTTTCCTTTGGTTCAGGATGATAGTTTTGGGGTGTCAACCTAAAATAGTCTGCTCTTCTTTCCCTAAACACCAGTTATAACCTGGAGTTCTGGGTGCCTGGCACTTCTGAAAATCAGCCAGCGGGGTATGGGTGCTAAAGGTGCACATCGACAGTCCAGAGGTCACAAGCTCAGGGCCATGGCAGAAGTGCTTGTGGTGCAGCTCTGTCATGTCCCAGCAAATCTGTGAATTCTTCTAAATACCTTGACACAAGGATACAAAAAGGAGGAGTTTTTAGGCGGCCCAAAACTGGCCGCCAGTTTTTAAAAAGTGTGCTTTCATATCTCCATGCCTGCCCGTGGCATCTTTATAGGTGCTGTGATGGTTATATAGTTGTCCTGTGCTAATTATCTCTGCTACTTGACAAGAGCCTTCCAAGACCCCTGCTAGTAACGGTCAAGTAACTCAGTAAGCTGAGAGTTAAAATGGAAAGGCTGGGGGGACTTTTTGAGTGGAAGAATACAAAATTGTTCTTCTCCAACAGAGACAGACTCACCCGCACGGCCAAGCTTTGTTTTTACTGTCAAGACTCCAGAGTGGCAAAGCTGGCCAATTCCTCCTTTGCATTTTCCATCCAAACACCTGCACAGAGCTGAACAGAAAAGATTGCCTCCCACCTGCCTAGCGGGTGCTGCAAGCGTTAGCTGCAAGCAAGTGCTCAAGAGTAGTGCTTCCCTTACCTCCATGGAGCCATCACGATACTAGTGTGTCAAGGGACTGGTGCCATGAACAGGCCAAAGTCTGTACAGGTCTTTGGCTGATCGTCCTGTTGATTCTCAGCTACGTCCTGCTCTTTCTCAGCTCCATCTTTACTCTCACTAACACTGTGACTGAAATCCCTTTGTTTTCTTTGACTCTTCCCCAGATCCTCATGAAGAACCTGACTAATCAAGAAGTCACCACATTTACGTACAGTGAATGGCTGTCAAAGGTCCACCATCCTAAAGGAGCTCTCATGTGTGAGATGCCAGGTGTGATAGATGATGAGCAGATGATGGAGGATACAACCTACACTGTTCAGGTTAAAACCAGTGATGTTATAGGTAGGTGGCTGTCTCAGTCTTTTCTAGAACCAGGCTCAACTTTTACAAACATATCAGTTTTCCTTTCCTTTCCTTTCCTTTCCTTTCCTTTCCTTTTCTTTTCTTTTCCTTTCTTTTCCTTTTTTTCTTTTGCTTTTCTTTCCGTTTCTTTACCCCTTCCCCTTTTGGAACTTATTAACATTAGTATTACCCTACAGCAGGGGCAAGAAAAATGCTGCCTGCGGGCCGGATGTGACCCGCCAGGCCAGTCTATCCGGCCCATGGGGCCCCTAAAAAAAAATTTAGGAAGTTAATATTTTTCTGCCTCTGGCTGCCTGTCATGTGGCCCTCGATGGCTTGCCAAAACTCAGTAAGCAGCCCTCCACCCAAAATAATTGCCTGCCCGTGCCTTACAAGGTCAGACAAAAGGTCCATCTAGCCTAGTATCTTGTCTGCAACAGTGGCAAGAAGCAGATGCTTTGGGTGAATAGTGAAAGAAATAGAAAAAAATGTCTGAGAACAGAATTAGCCTGAAATCTTGAAATTCCTGGAGGCTAGAAACTTCATTCTTCAGGAAAGCCAGCTTTATTCAGTGGGATTTGTCCTTTAGATCAGGAAACTTGGTACAGAGCAAAGGGAATTTTAAAGTCCCAGGACTTCATTTGACAGTAGCTGTTGTTGCTGCTTGAAAAAAAAATAAAAAATTGAGGGTTTTTTTTTTAATACAATACAAATATTAGAAAACATGAATATCAACTGTACATGTAAAACTAAAGCATGTCACTAACAATAAGCAATACAATGAAAAAGAAAAAAAGGAGGAGGGAAGAAGGAGGTATAGGAAAATAAAAGAGAAGTGTGCAATGAGCAGCAATCCAGCTACCAAAATATTCCAGGAATTGCTTTCAGATTGCACCAAACTTTTCAAAGCAGTTAAGCCTGCTAAACATGACTCTCTCCGTAGATGCCAGCTCCACCATCTCATTGTACTAGATTTCAACCTTTGCAGATGTCCTACTTTTCCAGTGCAGCAAAATAAACCTGTGTATACTAATAAGGCCTGCTGTTAGAGTGCAATCTGGAAAGGATTCTGTTTGAATTATACCCAAGAGGACATATATTTGCCAAAGGTATCAGTTAAACCATGTTAACCATGATTGCAATGCATCACATCTCCAGCATGTGTCTACTGGTAGTATAGTAGAAGAAGAATGAGCTGGAAGCTATCACTAGACTTGCTGCTATTGCCGCTGGACCTTTTATAACCAGGTCCTGCTACTGCCCACAGGAGAAGGCTGGTCTTGTGGTTAAGAGTTGGAGGTTATGGGTTTTATTCCTTGCTCTTCATGGATTTCCTGTGTGACCTTGGGCAATTCTTTTAGCTTCTCAAAGCCTGGGTGATTTCTTTGGTACATGGAGTGGATAAAGCTCACCTTCCTTCGGAAATTGCTTGGAGAGCTTCACATAAAGTATAAAGAATGAATGATGTGGCATTCACATAAAGAATATAGGACCTGGCAAGCCATCACAAAGGTAAAGGGATGGCTTCAGGAAAGCTCAGTTAATGGCAGAGAAAAGCTGCAGGGCTTTGAAAATCCCCGTGCCATGGGTTTGCCATGGCATGTTCTGGGATCACTGCCTATTTCCACGAGAGCCTCTCTCCAGCTGCTCTGAGAAGGCTATGCTCATTTTGCACAGCCACTTAATGCCAAGTCAGTGCAAGGTACATGTTACCACTTCTACACGTTTTCTGACAGATTTATCTCTGCTGATGGCATATCCCTATCCCTCTCTGTGGAGCATTGCTCAGTCTTTGTCTCTCTTCCACGTAACTGTTTCCAGCATTGCTATTTACACCAGAGGTTGAGATTTGCGTTTCTAATATAAAAATCTTCCCTGACAAGGTGACCTCTGACCATTTTGCAGCCTCTGTACCCACTGCCTGTCATAAAAATCTGTAGCAAAATATTCAAAGTGAAAAAAAAAAAGAGGAGACTTGTTTGTGTGCCTGACAGCCATCTGGTATATATGGTGTGATTAGACTCTGGACTTTTTGTGAAACTCAGCCCTGGCTCACAAGGGCTGTGACCACAGGAGCAGGAGAAGAATGGACAATGACAGCAGTAGCAGACGCATCTCCCCTTCACATTGAATGAAGGGCGACAGGTATTAATGGGGAAGCATTTTATTTCATTATGAGCTGCAGCAACCAGGAGGAGAGAACAGATTACAAATGAGATTTGAGACTGCCAAGACTTTGTTGTGATTAGGACGTGGGGCAGGCTGACATTAATGCGGCACCTTCTGTAGCACATCTGGGAGAGGTGTAGTGAGGTCCCCACCAGTTGGGTTTGTTCTGTACTTCATGGAAACTGCAGGTTGCATCTCTTCAGGAAAAGATCTTCTATTCTGGTGATAAACAGCTTGGCAGAATATATAGAGCATGATGCATCCACCTGCTGTTAGGCTTATGTAAACCAGAAGTAACCATGCTTGAGCGAATGGGGTTGCATGGGTAGAAGTGGAAGCTGAATCAGGCTCATTTATTTCTATTCCTGGGGTTATTTCCCATGTCTTCTCCACAACCTCTAAGTGCCTTTGAGTCATGTTAAGGCTACCCAAGTGAACATACTTCCCAACCGTCTTGCTGACTAACTCTTCCCATTACTTGGAAATACTCCTATTTTGCTCAAGCTTAAGAAAATGCTCGAGTGACAGATGGGCCTTCTGCTCTATTCTTAGAGTCAGCAGACTTGGGCAATAGTGGAACAAGAGAGATGATGTTAGAGCCGGGGATCCTCTATTGCTCATGACTTGACTTCATTCTTCCAAAGGTCCAACCTGGAGGGTATCGGAAACACCTCTGACCTCAGCAAGCAGTATAGTGGATAGGAAAAGAGAAATTCTGTACAGTAGCCAGATCCCTATTAAGGCATTTTCAGTGAAAACCAACACCATGAGTTGCACCCTAACCAAGACAGAAAGCTAGTGCCCAACATGAACTGGGAAGCAATAATTTTGCAAGAGGCTGTTTAGGAGCCTTAGAATCCTGATCCTATCCAACGAGCTCTGGATGCCACCTCAGGCTAAGATAACCGTCTTTGGGAAGGTGTGGATAACTTTATGGTAAAGAGTAAATTGAATCACAGAAAAGTGTTCACAACAGAGCACCGTAAGGGCCCAAGTTCTCATTTGGGGGTCTAAACTGATGTCTTGGTTTTCAGAAATGCTGATTTTCTCAAAATTGGTCTGTTGATTCACTCAGCTGCTCAGCTGCAGTTCTTTTTCCAAGTCTCCACAACTGGAAGTATTCATATTTGCTGATAAGTACCTGGCCTGAGGTCCCTGTAAGTGTGTCTGGTTGAACAGTGCAAGAGTGGGCACATATAATTTTGACTTGAAAAAATGAGTGTGGAAGTCTAGGGAAGAGAATCAGCAGGGAAGAAAGGAAAGACACATTGTGAGTTAGCTCAAATGCAGGATATATTTTAAACCCATGCCATTCCGGATACATAGCTGAGTCATCCGGTGCTCAGGCTTGTTATCACTCAAGTGTCCTCTCCTCCTTTTAATCTTACGTTCAATAAAGTCACTGTATTTTATTTGTAGCCGTCAAGCACATGGCACTGCAATAAATATCTGGAGATCATAATAAATATTACCTTCTGCATCTTCAAAACACATTCAGCGGATTTTGATGCCTGTTTGTTACAATATTCATGACTGTGTTATAAGCTTAGCCACGGTTCACAACTCACCCTTTAGTTGTAACCAGCATTAAAGGTTTGATCGGAAGCCTGGTTCATGATTCCCATTGATCTCAGTGGACTTTGAACTAGACCCAAAGTCTGGTTGATTGGTTGCATTGCTCAAAAAAAGCCAGGGGCCTGCTCTAGTTTATACCTGCCTAGGCATAATGGGCACAGCATCACAGTGACTTCACCCCTTCATTTTGTCCATCGGTTGCCCATCACCTGTGCAGCAGCTTGGAAATGTGCCTGAGTGTTTCACGAGAGCCAAACAAGAGACAGCTAGGTGACATGCACATTGATCCCACAATTGCTGCTCTTTTCTTTCACATCTCCTGCTAATTGCAGGCAAGGTAAATGTCATGGCGTGAGGCCTTCATAAGCATCTTCCTGCCAGGAAGATTTAGCTAAGAAGCAGTTAGTCCCATGCTTTCAAGACCTTGGATTAGTTGGGAGCCTGCTTCTTAGAAGGAAGTGTTTTGTTCCTCCCCTTAGCAAGCCGGAGGGACATAAAAGGTACTGCCGGCTGAATGGCGCAAATTCCTGCTGCTTTGCCTCCTTTGCAAGTTTATTCCCACCCCCCCTCAGGGAACGGTGGAAAATTAGCCCCATTTTAACTAGACAATTGGTCATGTGGCGATGGGCCTTGCCTTTGCACATATACAGGTTTCTGATTTTACTCTGTCTGCCTTTGTTTCAAGATGTTCTCGGTTTAAATTATCCCTAGACTGGCATTGTTTCAGATGCTCGTCCTGCAGTGAAGCATATTTTCTCCTCAGCCTTTCAGATCCCTGGTATTTTCTCCTTGTGTCTTGGCCAGAGCTGTACAAAAATCCTAGCAAGATGAGTTCAAAGTAGGTTGTGTAAGAACCTTTGGGGTCTCAAAAGCAAGGATTTCTGCTTTAAGGCAGCAGAAGCTGGGTTTCTTTGGGAACCAGATTTAGATTAGATGATCTCAGTCTCATTTGTGAGAAGCAGAGGCTTGGCTCTGAGCCGCAAATCTGATCGTGTGCTACTGGGCATGTTGATGTTGTCAAAAATATGAAACAATGAAGAAGAAGGTTCCCGGTTCCTAGGATAATTATAAAAGGTGCCAGGCAAAAATGACACGAAGCTTGCATCTGCACAAAGGGATTGGACTAGATGACCCTGTCAGTCCCTTCCAAACCATTTTCCTATGATACTCAGTTAAAATGCTAGTAGTTTCGTAATTGTGTGCCCTCGTGCTGGTGCAGTGTCACATAGCTATTGTCTACAGTGAATAAAAGAAGCAACTACTTGAGTCACATGGAGTCCAGCCTCCTGTAAGCACAGGCACCCATGCCTGTCCAAAAAACATCCATTTTCAAGCTCTTTGTGCAACAGTGGTCACCTATTCTGTAACAGGCAGCAGATTGTATAGACGGCCTCTTACAAATGCCTCCTCCCATGACTGTTAGACAGCGAGGGGTTGGGGCTAGGGAGTGGTAGGGAAAGGAAACAAGCGGTATTTCCAACTACTGGGGTAACTCAGTTCTCACTGAAGACAGAGGGCACTTCACCATGGACTTCAGTGGGAGAAGAATTTGGCCGGTGCTAAATGCTTCTGCAGACCCGATCCACACTGTTTCTATTAGAAGAGCGAGCTCATGCCCAGACACTTCGGGGATGGAGGAGAAAGACGGGAGGATGGTAATGACAGTGTGGGAATGAGGAGCATGGAGCTGCTGGAGAAGAGACTGAGGTCACTTTAATGAGGCGTAGGATGGATAATGGGCTGTGGAAGGTGGTGCTTGCCCAGTCCTTGGGGGTCTTCAAGAGGAGACTGGACAGGCACCTGGCTGGGATCACATGTCCCCAGGTTTGGTGACCCTTTTCTGGCATTCCAGGGGCAGGGGGTCGGACTAGGTGGCCCACTGAGGTCCCTTCCGACCCTGGAAGCTATGAATCCATGAATGAGAGAATGGAAAGCAGATGCACTTGGAGACCAGCAGTTAGGCCAGATCAGTGATACACTCCCCATGATCTTTAAGTTCCTGCTCCACAGAGGAGGGAAGGCGCTGCAAGATAGGCAGCAGCTGGAGTGTCTGGCCATGGGGCAGGGCTAGCTCTGGGAGCACTAGTGCAACGCTTTGAGGATCAATTTGTGGGGTCACCACAGATCCGGAGAGGGAGGTGGCAATATGGATGGGGGCCAGGGCAGCTGTGTGCAAAGGCTTCCTGCCACACAACAAGCCCAGGACAGAACTGTTCTACACACACTAACTCCTTGACCAGATCTATGGATGAAAAGGTCTGCATAAGAGGAGATCATCATTATTATGATGATAGCTCAAGAAGGGTTGGCCATTTCTGTGCTTTTTGTGGGGGCAAGTTAAAAGGATTCACGTTACTTGTTGTGGCCACTCTCTTTGCTGATCCAGCAGAGTTGTGCAAGATGCTTATGATCCATCTGCTCTGCCTTGAGGGACCTACATGTTATAGCAAGAATTCCAGCCCCTTTTTGCCTGCCCTTGCGATACTCATTTTGGCTAGTTTAGCCATCTTTTGTCCACACTATGAGACACATGGGCATCTACTGAATTATGTCTTGCTGCCTCTTTCTAGGAGCTGGTACAGATGCCAATGTCTACTTGATTATCTTTGGAGAGAGTGGGGACACTGGGACCCTTCCACTGAAGGAATCTAATAAGTCTAACAAGTTTGAAAGGAACCAGATGGATATCTTTGAGTTTAATGACATGCTGAGCCTGGGAGAGCTCTGTAAGGTGCGAGTCTGGCATGACAACAAAGGTAAGACCAGCGCCAGTGGCTGGATAAAGGGGGATGTGCGCAATCTAGTGGATTTGGCAGGGATGTGGGAGACCTGTTCCAGCTCTGTCACTGTCTGATTGTGTGACCTCGGTCAGATCTTTTCATCTGTCTAAACTTTTGTTTCATCCTTTGTCTGTCGTGCCTAAATAGGCAGAGTCCGAAGAAAAGGAACTGTCTGTTACTGTAGGTTTGTACAGTATCTAATGCAACGCATTCACAATTTAAGTTGGAGCTCATTGCACTACAAAGAGCCATAACACCAATAACAGTCCTTTTACTCTGCAAAGTGTCAGGCACCCAGGGTCAGCTCATGCTCTACCTATTAGACATCTAAGTAGTTGGTGGTTTCTCAGAGATGTAAGCAGGGTAGAGCAGAATCACATTGAGGTCCACTTAATCATCCAATAAGTGGAATGGGATCTGGGGCCCTAGCCTCTATCCTTCTAGCAAAATGACTCTGCAAATATAATACTTTAATTTTAGGACAATACCATACTCTAGTACAGGGGCAGGCAATTATTTTGGGCAGAGGACCGCCTACTGAGTTTTGCCAAGCCATTGAGGGCCACATGACAGGCAGCCCAGGGCAGATTAATATTAATTTTCTAACATTTTTAGGGGCCCCGCGGGCCAGATAGAATGGCTTGGTGGGCCGCATCCGACCCGTGGGCTGCATTTTGCCCACCCCTGCTCTAATAATTTAACTCTGACGATCTGATTCTGACAGTCAACAAAGTAACATAGTTTGATATAATGGTTTGATCTACACATGTATAGTTTGCTCTGTACACATACCTGTTCCCGTTCTAATTAGAGTGCTCCAGTGCTGCCTCTCTGTCATGTGTATTCAGCCCCCATATATGTTAAAATGGCCTCAAGAGCACTTTGTCTAAACCTTGTTGAATGAGCTTTAGATAAAGTATCCCACAGCCATTTTAAAATTCATGGGAACTTAATACATGTGATGGTGAGCTGTTTTAATTAGAGTGGCTGTCCAGGAACTGCTCTAATTAAAACGCCATCCCGACTCCCGAGCACATGTATAAGCAGCCAATGTGCAGACATTTAGAAGGTAAAAACAGGTACATATCTGTGTCTCTCTATTATAATGGCTATATCATATGTAGAGTTTGTGTGCTCTGCAAAAGAGATGGTGGTGTTCTCTTCGAAACCATACAGGCATTACATAGTTCAGTGCTCTGTACTGTTTATATTCTTTGGAGAGATTACTCAGATATCACATTGCATGGTAGCAAACTCAAACAATACATTTCCCTGGCCATTGTAACTACAACTGTAGTTGTAACTGCAGTTACAGTTGTACAACAACAACTTGTATTGTGCCTACTATCGAAGTTGTTCATTTGAAAAAGGTGATGTAGCATTAGCAACTGATTTTTATGATGGCAACGAATGAATGAACCAAATGTGAAAAGTATGTGTATAGTGTTATCCAAAAGCACGGTTACAGCTCATGTAGGCATTGAGAGGTGGATGCTGATTGCAGCGTAGTCGCAGCAGCCTGGTCTAGCCCCCTGAGTACTCACTTTGGGTCCTAAGTAGATTTTGTAGCCATGTAGAACCCAGTATCGCAGTACCGATTTAATTATTAGTACCTCAGCCAGCTAATTTAAAGTGACCTCGGGTACATCTGCACAAGATGCAGTGATGTTTTTGGATTGTAGTGTGGCTGCATGCTCAGAAGCAGCTTATTTTACTTCTCTTAAAGACAAAGTAGAGACAAAGGTGGCGGGGAGGGAGTGCACAAGCTGAATGTACTATGATCCCTTGGGACTATGTTTCAAACTGAAAACTTGTTTCCTGTCAGCCTCCAAATAAACTCTGTGTACTTAGGCTTGTGGTGATTGGTGAAGCAGAAGAGCAAAGTATAGGACAGATGAATTTTCACTCTTTGTGGCCTCCATGTTTGTATACCCAGGCCACTGCAAGTATAAGTGCGTCCTCACAGTTTTTGGCACTCTCTGGCAGTAGCATCATATGGAGCAGGCAACAGAGACCCCAGCTGAGGCATTAACAGAGGGTGCCACTGCCAGCCCAGCTGCTGTAGCTGGGCAACCCCCTACCACCTCTTCTGCCACCTGGGATATGGATCCTGTCTGTTAAACCTCTGCTCACTCATTAGGTCATTTGGACAGGAAATCGGTGTCTGTAAATTGGGGATTTAGAAGCCTAAACTCTCATTCAGATGAAAATGAGATGTGCTATAAGAATCCCCCATGGTTGTGCAAAAAGTGTGCGACCAGGCTCCATACAATCATAGAATCACAGACAGTGAGGGTTGGAAGGGACCTCAGGAGGTCATATCTAGTCCAACCCCCTGCTCAAAGCAGGACCAACCCCAACTACATCATCCCAGCCAAGGCTTTGTCTAGCCAGGTTTTGAAAACCCGCAAGGATGGAGATTGCACCGCCTCTCTGGGTAACCTGTTCCAGTGCTTTACTACCTTCCTCATGAGAGAGGTTTTCCTAATACCTAACCTAAACCTCCCTTGCTGCAACTTGAGCCCATTTCTCCTTCTTCTGTTATCTGCCACCGCTGAGAACAGTCCAGCTCCACAATGTTTCGAGAGCAGAGACTGATTCACGTGGACTTGCCGACTTGGTTTGACAGAGGTTAACAATTGAACTATCTCCTTAGGAGAACTTCCAGCTCCCCTACTGATCAACCGTGCTACCAAAATGGAACCTATGTGTCAGAGTCAAGTTGTCAGTACTTATTCATATGTGCACGCACTGAAATCTCAGCTTCCTTTTTCTCCATGTTCCCCTAATATGTGTGTGTCTCCTTTAAAAAAAACCCCCTATATTTATTAGGAGTTTTTCCAGAACTAGAGACTCTAAGACTAAGCCTAGGACAAAATATAACTCAGATTTGTCCAGTATAAATTGACCTGATTTACTTTCTTGTAAGAAACACAACCGTGGCTTAAGCTCTAACATAGGTTGCCTTCATTGCTTTGCATTGTGAAAAGAATATGCTATCACAACCCTGCAGTAATGAGCCATGGCAGTTAGTTCTGGGGGTAGAGTATTTATTACTGTTGGTATCCTGCACTGACTAGCTTTTTTATGTCTGTTCAGGCATGTCTTTTATATACAAAATGGTCGAGATACTAGTATATGCCCAGTTTGGGTTTTATCCTGGGGGCGGGGAGGGGGCAGTGTGGTTATCACATGCTTGGAGGACTTTGCTTTTTAGATCAGTGCATTTATTTATGCCGCTCTTGTTCGTCTCTTAGGGAATCTTTCGTATTTTTTTGTTCTCAATGCCTACTAAACACTCCCTTTTACTGCCATTAATACACACATTCTCATTTTGCCGCCATTTTACTAGAGTGTGGTATTGTCCTATTACTCAAGCATTACATTTGGACTGCCTTCTTTTAAAAACTTTTAAATGTTGGGTGCAATGGTATTGGCATCAGCATGCTATAAATCAGGGGTGCTCAACCTCCAGCCCAAGGGCCAGATGTGGTCCGTAGAGCCATAGCTATCCAGTCTGCAGGGTTGCCCATGGATTGGGAAACTTGGCAGCAGGGGATTAGTGGCAATAAATATAGGCACCATTCTCCATTGCCCAATTCCCAACCCCTGAGCCCCACACAGCAGGTTGGGGCTGGGTCATGCCGCCTCTGCCTGGCAGCTGAATGAGGCCAGGCCGCACTCCTCCTCCCAGATTGGATGGGGTTGGGCCATGCCCCTTTTCCCTGTGGGCCAAGTTGGAGCTGGGCCACCCCGTGCAGGGCCAGGCTGGAGCTAGGATGCCCCCTGTCCCCCTCCACACAGCTGGATGGGGTCCTGCTGTGACCACTCCATGCTGGATTGGGACATCAGCTGGATCTGGTCCATGGACAGCCTGAGCCTGTCTATCCAGCCCAAAAGATTGAGCACCACTGCTCCAAATGCATGAGAAACTTGTAGAGTAGCCTGTAGGTAGGCAGGCTTGCAAATGTAATGGCCACCCTTTAGATGTCTTATTCTGCTAGGGTCTGACTCCAGCAGTAAATCAACCAGCCTGTCTCTCTCTTTCCCTTTTTAGGTTCAAATTCTAAATTACAGTCTAATTCCACGAGATCTTTCCTATCTGAGGGCACGACACTGGCAGCCTCCCTCACTTTGATTACTAGCACAGCTAACACCCTCAGAAACCTTACTGATTTAAATAGGACTGGCTGAAAGGTAAAGCACCATTAAAGAGGAGTAGGAAATACAGCACTGGGCCCTAAGTAGACTTTGTATTGTCACTTTACATCCATGCATCCCTAAGATCCAAAGACTGAAGCCAACCCGTTTGCACAATTTCACCTGTGCAGGTAAAGGGGGACATATGACTTGATGAGTTCTGCAACTGTGATGAGTGTCCAAGCCTGTTACAAATGCTGCCAATCTAAACTCGGGGTGTTGTAGTCTGAGATATTAAGTGCAAAAAATCAAAACTAATTAAATGTTGTGCTGGAGAAACTGAGCTACTGATCAGTTAAGTGGCTTGTCCTAAATCCCCAAGCATGTCAATGGAAAGCAGTAGTTGATCTCTGGCACCAAGGTTTGGACTGTAGTCCCATGAGCAAATGATGCCTGGATAGCGAGGGTTAAATTGTCGGCTGCCATCGGCGGAGTCATGCCAGGAGAGAATTTGCTCCTGGTCTTCTTGGAGCTGTTGTTGTCGTTGTTCCATTTTTTCTGCTGGAGCCTTTTTTGTGTCAAAGAGAAATGTAAGGGGAATGAAACTTGTCACCGCAAGAGTGACAGGGGCAGCAGCTCCTACAGGAAGGATTGTCAAATTCTGTTTAACTCTGAATAATGAGACTTCCTGAAGTTTCTAGACTTTCTCTCTCTCTCTCTCCCTCCTTTTTTTTTGGGCCCTAAAATATTTTGGAACTTGTTTTCCCCATAAAAATAAATTGCCGACTGTCTTCTTTCTACCCGTCCTTTAAATATAGGGTCCAAATGTCCTCCTC